TCCATTAGTAGCTTTCCTCACCACCAGTGTGCAATAAAGCATATTTTGGCTAGATATATCCTTCCTAGTAAGAAAATGTTGTTACCTCCAAAATTGGTTAATTTGTGTCTCTATGCAGATAAGTAAATATATAGAATCATTAAGAATAAAATCAATATTAAATTCTGAAGGGTTTAAAAATTGCAGCTCAACAAACTAAAGAAGTAAAACAATATGTATTTGTAGAAATGAGACCTCCTCCAAAAAACAATGTGACTTCTAAAAAGAAATCAGTTTACCAACACACATTCACAAACACAGAATTTGAGATTGTAAACTGAGAGTCCAACTGCAAAAATTGGCATAAAAGATTTAGCTACTAGTATGAAAAAACAGAACACACTCTGCCATATTAGTTTGAATAAATGGGCTCAGTAACTGGGCATTAGCGTTTTACTGGCATGGAGAGAAAAAAAAATGTATTGCATAATGACATCAAACTCTCGCTGACAGTCGATTGCCCTATCTGTCTCCGTTAAGTAACCAGCTGGGGTAGTAAATGATCAGCTGAAGAATTGTTCTTGAAAGACAAAACAATTTTGCTTTTGTTGTATATATATATATATATTTCTCTCTCTTAAGGGAACCCCATAGATCTGCTGATTAGCTGCTAGGCAGTATAAATTCCTGCATCCAAAACTGAAAATTTATCTGAGATTTCACAGTTTTCCCTGAGTTGAAAAAGCAAGACTAGTGCAGCCCCCTTTACATCATAAGGTGAAATCTTACAGTACATTGAGGCAGAACAGTAGTGCCACCTACTGATCAAGCATGGCATCAATACTGTTTAAGGGTTAGTAAAAGGCTAAAAGGCATTCACAAACTAGTACATAGAGGTTTGTTTTTTAGTTTAATTTGTTCTATTTTTTGTCCTTTTAGTTTTATGAATGGCTAGTTTTTGTGAATTATTTTATATTGTGTACGTTTTTAAATGTAGACTTCATTATGTTTTATTTTGTGTTATCGGTTGAAACATATCCATATTTTAAAAAAGGAAGCATGTGTCGTCATATTACTTGGATACTAAACCAAGTAATAGTTTATTTGTGAACTCTGTAGAAAAAAGAAAGAAAAACAGATTATGAAATTTATAGGGGTTTTCACTAGCAAACTAATGTTACCGGTAATTGAAATTTGCAAAGATTTTCTACCTTTTAGTCTCACAATCATTGAGCAGAGCTGAGTGGTAAGTATATTACTGATATGGTCCATGGCCAATAATATTTTAATTAAATCATGTCAACACTGTAATAAAAAGTAATTTAAATAAAAAAACTCATGGAAGCAACTTGCCACATAATTGTTTAAATTCTGAAAAACAGTTCATCCAACTTTTTTTTTTTTTTGTTCATACTACTTATATATACACTTTCTCAATGTTTTCTTTTGTTTGCACATTTAATTTTTGTATAGTATGTAACCTTACTTCTATTTTTATTTTTTGTGCTACTAAATATCCTACATAGTTCCAACCTATTTGTTCATAATACTGATCTTGGATCTGTTTCTCATATATATTTTCTTTTTGTTTGCACAACCAACTTCCTTAAATAAACACAATGTAATTTTTATTTTTTAAACTCATCTTATAACTCATCTTAATGTATATTAAAGGAGAAGTTCGGTTTTTAACACTTTAAGCCCATTTTCTGTAGTGTCCAGGATGAAATCGAATGATCGACACCAAAATTTTGACAATTGGTCCTGTCTCTGCTATTTGGCTCATGCAGAATCACCCCTGGCTGCTTCAGAATGGCTTCCATTGTGCATGTCCGATAATGTCCTTAAAACAACCTTAAACGTTCTTTTTTTAAAATATGCTACTCACCGGGTCGTCAGCGCTGTTCAATGACGTTCCAAAAAAAGTTTCGTAAAGAAAAAACGTTCCTGTAGTGTTTTATTTAGCATTTTGTAAATCCCATTGAGTTCTGTTGGAATAGTCAATATTCCCCTGCCACCGGAAACGGAAATGGGGCCTGTTTACACAGCTGTAGTCTTTTCGCTTCACTCTGTGTACTCCGACGTCGAGGTGCTAACGTCTCTGTTAAACTCTGAAAATGGAATACGAAAGGTGGATTCTTGATTCTCGACGTCGGAGTACACAGAGTGAAGCGAAAAGACTACAACTGTGTAAACAGGCCCCATTTCCATTTCCGGTGGCAGGGGAATATTGACTATTCCAACAGAACTCAATGGGATTTACAAAATGCTAAATAAAACACTACAGGAACGTTTTTTCTTTACGAAACTTTTTTTGGAACGTCAATGAACAGCGCTGACGACCCGGTGAGTAGCATATATTAAAAAAAGAACGTTTAAGGTTGTTTTAAGGACATTATCGGACATGCACTAGGGAAGCCATTCTAAAGCAGCCAGGGGTGGATTCTAAATGAGCCAAAAAGCAGAGACAGGACCAATTGTCAAAATTTTGGTGTCGATCATTCGATTTCATCCTGGACACTACAGAAAATGGGCTTAAAGTGTTAAAAAGTGAACTTCTCCTTTAACACAATGTACTCCTTACTGCTAACTTAACTTGCCTTTCCAATCATTTACACCTGTTTTTTTCCAACCATGGTCCTTAAGAGACAACATACTTGCATGTTTTAGATGTTGCTACTTTAACCGACTTTATTCAGAGGATTTCAGTTCAAGAGATGCCTGTTAATCCATCATCAGCTGAAATCAGGTGTGCCTAATCAGGGAAAGCATCTAATACAAAAACAGTCATTTACCTTATGTGCAATGGTTTAAAGAAAACCATATTGGTAAAAATAAAATAATAATAACTTTATTGAATTGTCTGTATATTTGCAAAAACAGCACTGAACATCTTTCAGAAATTACAGTAAAACAAATGTCTGTCTCTAACATCAGATAGTTAGGAGGTAGCGACCTAATCGTATGAGTCCCTCTCAGAGCTTAGGAGGCATTTTAATATTGTGTTAAACCATAAAACAACATGGGTGACTTGCATTCTTCATATAACTATAAATTTTTCTTGGTTTAAATGTAAAGGGTGTGGTGGACGCCTCGTAGTGAAGATGTGGGTCTTGGGAAAAAGTTAATCCATCAGCATACCCCATACAACAAAAAACAATCAATGGCGCACATGTGCAAGTTCACCATTTTTTACTGGATTGAAGCAAAACAAGAAGTTGTTTATTTTCCCAACTAAAATGTAAACTTTTGACCCTTAAGACAATTCATTTATAAATATTTAGCTGTATCAACTATAGTTGTGCAACTAAATTAGTTAATTTGATAGGACAGAGCATATTTTAGTACTTTAATAGGGGCATAATTTAAGTTAGCTTGATGAGATCAGGAAAACCGGTTCCTGCTCAGAACTGGTTCCGCAGCACGACTTACGTCAAGTTTTTTACGCAAGTTACGTACACGGCATACAGTAAGCAAGTACGACGTTATGGAGAGCCATAAAGCGGTCAAAGCGATTGAAAGACTGGCTTCATTTTAAGGAACAGAAAGATGGTAACAAGGCGCTTTGCAATCATTGCAAAGTGGCAATTACATCCGCGGGAGGAAATGCATCCAACATGCAGAAACACCTGTGCACACAACATGGCATACATTTTAACGAATGCCGTGTTTTTGATGCTTCTGGACAGAAGCTAAATTTACGACCGACATGGAAGGCAACTCTGGTAGTAAATAGCTAGTTTTATATCTCTGGCTGTGCCTAATGTGGTTCCTAGTAAATAATATGCCATTTCTTGGAAATAAGCCAGTTTCCAACCTCTTTTTGGGGTTATTAAACATGCTACGAAGTTGCTCCGCATTTTAGGGAGCGAGACAAAGGTGATGCTTGTTTATTTAAATCAGGGGGAGATGAGTTTTTTTTTACAGAAATTGCACAGTAATGCTTTTTAATTAAACGGATGCCTTCTCCATTAGATTTTGATGACTGTGACGAGAGTGGTGTCCTGGCTGGATCAGAGGCTGGCAGCTCCCTTTCACTGCCTTCTGTTTTCGCCGAGGCAGGCAGAAATAAAATGTTCCAGGTGAAGGTAGACGAATGTCACTGTGCACTCACCAAGTTCATTGTTTCACAGAATCGATAAGGAATTGAATCGTTTCACAGAATCGATAAGGGAATCGGAATCGTGAAAAATCGTATCAATTCCCAACCCTAGTAATGTGTGCAGCGGGGCGTGGCAATTGTAGCCCAATTGTTGAAAAATGCATGCTAAAGTGCCCTCTCTGGACCAAAACGTCTGCTAAAGTGCACCCTACAGTGGTGAGGACCAACTATGTGCCTTTTTTTAAATTTGCCCTTCAAAAAGTCTACGCACGCCACTGCTACTCAAGGAGTTGGACATTTACATGTGAGATCTACAACAAGCATGTATGGTGTTGTTATAGTTGTCCTTGCTGAAAAGTAATATATATATATATATATTTTTTTTTTCTTGCATAATTTCTGTTAAAATAAAGTTACACTTGTTTTCAACCTTTCTTGTCATCCGTGAAACATATGATTTCAATTAAAATCTCACATTTCTTCATGTGGAACTGAAGAATAACATCGATGGTAAAGTGGGGCTTATTCTTGCTGGTGATTGTTTGGCATATTTTAATCACATTCTGCTATTTTCTCACATTTAGCAAAGTGGTTCCACTAATCTAAAGAGAGTGTAGGCTATTATTTACACGTGCAGCAATTATTTATGGTCCTTAACCTATTTCCCATAATTTTTTTTTTATTGCATCAAGATGCAAAGTCAAGGCTATATAAAAAAGCATTACATTGCGAATCTGTGCACAGCTGCTAGAGCAATAGGTGATCTAACCTAATATTATGCGGAACAGCTTGATGGAACAACCTCTGCACTTCACTTCCTACTGTGGCGCCCACCCCTCCCTCTCTCAGCACATGCAGCAGTGTGCAGTTTGGGCGATTCTCTCATTAAAGACTACGGATTACTGCAAAGGTCTGCGAATTGACAAGTTTAGACCATGTTTTTTTTTTTTCACCGCGTGACTGGTCAAAGAAGCTGTAATTAGCTTTTTCTTCAGCTGGAGGGATTGTCTGTGCTGTGGCCACACATAGGCCTACCTGTGCGGACTTGTTCGCACCTTAAGGAGGGAGGGTGAAACGCGACTAGACATACCTTTGCCTCACCTCTCTCTCTCTCTGTGCCTCTTTTTTTCTTTTGGCTCTCTCGCTCCATCTCCCCACTCTCTCTCTCCCTTTCTCTGCAAGCGGATCTATAAGCTGAAATGTCGACAAATGAAAGAACAATCCGAGCACTAAAAGAGATTCTCCTAAAGCCTGGAAATGACACCTGCGCCGACTGTGGCGCTCTGGGTAGGTGGAAGGAATGCACATGAAGTTATAACTATGCAGGCTATTATGTCAATATCTATCTCCAGTTAACGATAACATATGTCGGATGTTATCTAATAATCGTTTATGTTGTTTTTAGTTGAATTAAAAAAAAAAAAAAAAGTTTATGAAGGTTAGGCATTCAGGAGGAGGAGGGGCCTCACATGCAGGTGAAGCTGTAGGGGCCTTGTGAAAGTAGAGCAAGCCCTCACATGTTTTAATGTTGGGCAGTGTAGGACTTGCACAGTGCACACCCTTTTTTCAGCAATGCCCAAAAAAAGCAGAATGTGTTTTTCTAATTTTCCCCACGAAATATTCAGTAATGTTTGAATAGCAAAACATATAATTATCCAAAACAATCATGAAATAAGACAATGTTCCTATTCAGCTGGTATCCTTTTAATTCTGAACCTTTTTTTATACTACAGTACTCAACTTTTTCATAAACGGATTCAGATACATAAATGGATGATGGGACTGCTTGCTTTTTGTGTCATACCTTCAGTAGAGGACGTTATTGTTACCTGAATAACTAATTTCTGGAGTCTCTGTTTGTATGAATATCTTGCTGTTTCTGTAGTATTCTTGTTTTCTGATTTCCTGGATTGGAGGCTTCATTAGATTTATTTAAACTTTTTTTAAATGGAAAACAAAATGAATTACTGCTTTGTTATATTTCGTTAGATTTACCTACACTGCAATGATAGTGATGTAAATGTGTATTCATTTTTTTATTGCTAAAAAGGGATTTTATTATAGCTCAGTTTCTGTCTTTAATCATACACTAACTATAATAGGTTCCTACAGTAAACATGCTAATTCGTAAGGATCTTGGAACCAGAAACTGAGTAAATCTGTGCCCTAGGGACTTATATGATAGCCAGACTGTCGATGCACCTGGGAGTGTATTTGTCAGTGCATTACTGAGGAGCATTAAAGGCGTTGGCTATCTCAATAAGGTTTAAAATGAAATTTTTCTACTTACCATTTCTACCCAGAATCATACTTTCTGGTTAAGTTTAGCCTCTAGTCTAATTTTTTTCTTGTTTCTCTTTTTAAGACAAAAAATTACCCTCTGTATGTGTCTTGGAAGTATAAGCAAATTTTTTGTGCAGCTCATATACTGAAGCTTTGAATAAGGATGTAATCCGGAACGACTCTTGACCAGAAAGCCAAATTCACACTGTAATCTTCCAGTGACTATATGGATTGTTAAAAAATGTCCTGCTCAGACCTCAGTTTTTTGTTTTTTCAAGGTCAAACTAATTTTAAAAGACACCACTCTGTTGAGATGTTGTTGGAAAAAACAGATTGCTCTAGTCTAGGCAATAAAGGTATTTCTCAAATCTTTTGGCTCAAAATGTACCAGGGAAGACTAATTAAAATAGGAGACATGTCTTTCAGAGGTACTGTTCCAGGAGGGGCTTACCATTACAGTAAGGTCCATGGATTAAAAGCTTTATCAGTCTAAAAATGTTATCCTTACCGAGCAACTTTAATTTGATGTCTAGTTAGATAAATAACTCCAAAATGCTGCTGAAGTGATAACAGACTTGCCTTAACCTGGTAAAACATTTTTTTTTAAGTCATGTGATTCTTCTAGCTGATAACACCTAATACAGTGCATTTAATTTGGCCTGAAGAATTATTCTTCCTCCATTATTTTTTTTTTATTATTTATAAATGAAAACATATTTAAAACATTTAAACTATTTTGTTCTCAGCAACAAAATCTGTTTATGTACCATCATGGTTATAACTCACACTCTGCATTCAAGATTTTACCTAATATGTTAATTATCTTGTATTTCTACCACAGGGCCTTTGCTCTGGCCCTGGAAATCCCATTTCCGTTTTAACAATATTTTCCCCTGTGCTGCAGATCCTGGTTGGGGCTCATGCTCCCTGGGAGTTTTCATCTGTCTGGAGTGTTCTGGGATCCACCGCAACATCCCTGAAATCAGCAAAGTCAAATCCTTGAGATTGTCCCATTGGGAGGATCACGAGGTTCAGGTGAGAAGACAAAGGCAGTTTTGAATCGTTTTATCTGTTTGATTGTAAGTAATGAATAAAAAAATTTAGCAGGCTAAATATTGTTTATGCTATGGTCTAAGTTTTCTCTGTTTTTCTTATAATATTATAGTTAAAACCAAAATTGGTTTTAGATTCTAGATCACTGGTTTGAGGTTTCAAAAATAAAATTCTTGTTATGGATTTTAAAAATATCTATTTAAACGTTTCTTCTCTCTTGTTGATTATCTTGAACTTCTCCCTTGTATTATCACCTTTTAAGGAAAGGTTATCTCTAGAATATTCCCAGAAATTCTAAAACATCTAAAACACAATTTATTTTTCCATGAGAATGTCCTCTAGTTATTATACTCTTCCGCCATGTACTGAGGTATCATTCATACTTAATAATGTTTTTTTATGTTTTGTGCTTGTGATAGTTCATGGCCGAGAACGGAAATGCAGAAATGAAAAAAAAATATGAGGTCGCTGTACCGGTCTACTACTACAAACCAACTCACAAGGACTGCCAGTGAGTATTGACAGTTTCTCACACAATACATTACATCTTACTCGATGTATTTTAGCCGTGTTTTCATTTATAGAAAAAGTATGTAGTCTTGGTTTATATTTGATATTTGCTTGTCACATGGATTGTCCCTCTACAGTGTCTTGCAAAAATGTCCTGTGTTTTTCCACATTTTGTTGCATAATCTTTTGTTGGGCATTTATGTGATGGGGATAAATATTACATAATGAGTTGAGTTGGAAAGAAAATATCTATTTAAAGAGCTCTAGTCATGCACTATGGATTTCGAAATTCTATTGCGATTAGATCCCTCTGGTTGTTTACAAAGGCCTTCTGAGTTTGGAGCATTGTTGCCTTGCAACAAGAAGGGTTCTACTACTGGCTCATTATTCCGTAAGGAGTTTGCATGTGTGGGATCTCTTTGGAAACTCTGGCCTCACCCCACAGTCCAAACACATGACAATTAGGTTAACTAGAGTCTCTAAATTGTCCTTAGTTATGAGTGTGGGTGCGGATGGTTTTATGTCTATGTGTGTCTTTGTTTGGTCCTACGATGGACTGGTAGTTTGTCCAGGGTGTATCCTGCCTTTCACCCATAGACTGCTGGAAGTAGGCACCTACCCCAGCGCTACACTGATCGAGAAGATGGATGGATGGATGGGTTGGGTTAGGATGGGTTTTTGCTTCCTATGTTTTATTTCTGTATTTTACACTTAGTTTTTTTTATCAATTTGTTACTAAGCCATTTTGTGTATTTACTGTAACAAGACTATATTATCAGAGGTACTATATTGCACATGCAAGCAATGAGTAAACATGGAGGAAATGGAAGCCAAGGAGTTGGAACTCGAGGAGAGAAAAGGGAGAGGAACTAAGAATTATGGGGGGAGAGAGAGAGAGCCATGACAAAAGAAAGTATCCCATGGACACACAATAAATACTTCTATACAAACATAAAAGTTATACCTGTGAAGATCGCACAATGTCATTCAGAGCTACATGTAGTTGAAGCTGGAGTTAAGCAAGCCTAACTGCTGAATCATGAACAGCGGTATCCAAACATCTGTGGTGCATACAATGTTTATAATGCTCCTTTGGCAGGAAGATGTTGGGGGACCCCAGACCTACCCTGAAGAGCCGCAGACTGACAGAAAGGAGAACAGAGCCACAGATATCCAAATGCACCCCAGAGTGAAGAGACACAGGAAGGGCAGACACAGGGACGAGAGCCCTGGGGCCAGAACCCAGAGGCTATAGTACTGAAGCCCCACAGACTCTGCCGGCAGCCCCAGTTGAGCACACAGAAATCTGAGCCCAGGGATGGGTGGGACCCCAGGGGGCCCAGGCCCAACAGCCACCTGGAATGAGACAGCACCCAACAAAGCACCAAGCCCTGCAAAGAAGGAACCACCATAGAGAAAGGCCAGTCCTTACAAGAGATGCATCTGGGCATGCTGATGGTACACCCCCTGCTGCACAGCGATGGCTGCCAGCCAAAAACACAACAATGCAAAGCCATGTTCCCCATTTCCACTGCATACCTCCCAGCCAACCCCCATACCAGAAACAATAATTTGCTAAACATTATTTAATGTTAAGAGGGATAAGAGATGAGAAGCACTTCAAATAGAATATGAATATTGGTTCACTGAAGTGGGAGCTAAAGATGCAGAAGATGCAAAGTTTACTAATGCATGAGAAACTGTCAGTTTTCTTAGGCAAGGTACGTGACTGGGCCCTGCTAAATAAAAGTATTCATCTAAAACATGTCTCCTTCCTATCGGTTTAATCTGTCTTACAATATGACGCCCCTGAATAAAATGTAGGGTGCCCAGATCCCATTGGCACATTATTTTAGTAAAAAGAGATTCTGTACTTAACATAATATATCAATCTGTGAAGGCCTTAGATATTTTTGGCTGAAAAAAGTAAGCAAACAACTACAGTAAATGAGGCCAAGGAGGCAAACCTGAAAAATTAGGCATAAAGCCATGAGGAAGCTACAGTAGGATCAGATTAATGGTAGAAAACAATATTCCAACCTTTTAACATGTCATATTGTTTAAAGCACTATTTAATTTGTCTACAAATTTAAACCTATTATATGGTTGGTCTTCAAACTGACAGGTTTAAAAGAGAAAAATAAAGGATTTCTTGACCCCTGCCTCATTTGGTTCTTTTTAAATAGACCAAAATTTGTTTCCTCCCTTGAGACCTACTTTTGGAGATGGCCTTTGCGTTTGTCCAATGGACTGACTTCATATTTGAGCTGCTTTCTTTAGCTTAGCAGTGATTCTTGGGTGGGGAGCAAAGAACAGTGTCTCCTTTAGGTTGCAGCATATATTTGACAATACTGTTCCAAAATGAGTTTAGGTCATTCTATTTTGCAGTGTTCAAGCAACATTTCAGGGTTTAGATATGCAAAGGTGGCGGAGGTAAACTTTAAAAGACTTGCCTGGCATACACTTAAATGCATATAAGATGCGGTTATAACATGTAAAAAAGACTATGAAAACCACTAAATTATTTAGTCTGAGTTGTTTATTTCTGGCCTCGGAAATGGTTCCCCAACGGAGAAAGGTAGACTCCCCTCTTCTTGTGGGCGGAGAGTCCTTGTCTCAAGTGGAGGAGTTCAAGTATCTCGGGGTCTTGTTCACAAGTGAGATTGACAGACGGATCGATTTAGCGTTGGCAGTGATGCGGTGCACTGTATAGGACTGTTATGGTGAAGAGGGAACTGAGTCGGGAGCAAAGCTCTGGATTTACCCATCCATCTACGTTCCCACCCTCACCGGTGGTCATGAGATCTGGGTAATGACAGAAAGGACAAGATCAGAAATACAAGTGGCCGAAATGAGTGTCCCTCTGCAGAATGGCTGGATGTACCCTTCGAGATCGGTTGAGGAACTCAGTACCCGGGAGGGGCTCGGAGTCGAGTCATTGCTCCTCCATGTTTAAAGGAGCCAGCTGAGGTGGCTCGGGCATCTGTTTTGCATGTCTCCTGGTGGCGTCCCTTGGGATGTGTTCCAGGCATGTCCCATTAGGAGGAGGCCTCATGGAAGGCCCAGGACACGCTGGAGGGACTATGTCTCTGAGCTGGCCTGGTGTCGCCTCTGGGTCCCCCCAAAGCAGCTGGAGGAAGTGTCTGGATCGGGAAGTCTGGGCATCTTTGCTTAGACTGCTGCCTCAGCGACCCGGCCCTGAATAAGCAGAGGAAAATGGATGGATGGATGGATGTTTATTTTTGCAGTTAACTAAATTGTAATGGTCTATTTAAAATCTGAGTTTGTAAGAAAAAACAATTGAATATAATCTGCTTTCCAGTTTTTTGAGCTACAGTTCATATTGGATATAAGAAAAATAAATATTGCATTAAGGTTTGTTCAGTTGAAGGTGTGTCAAGGGAAAAGTTATGACATTTAGTTGGTTTCAGGTAACACTGATATCAATGGTTAAGCTCAGCAGTTCAAACCGTTTTGATTTTGTATCTGGAAGAAGTTATTTAGTAAGAGAAAAAAAACTACCACTGATTAAACCAATGACTGATCAGCAAATTTATAACATTAACTTGTTTCTTAATATATGGTCTTCTTTAAGCATTTATCTTAATTTTTTTTGTGTTTGTTCAGGGTACTAAGGGAGCAGTGGATAAGAGCAAAGTATCAGCGGAAAGAGTTTACCGAACCTGGGGGAAACATAACGTATGATTCAGGTGAACGTATGCAGATTGAAACACAATTACCATCATGTGTCATAAAAAGTCGTTGGTCTTGAATAACCTTTGCTTGCAACCTGCAGGAATGAAAGATGGTGTGTTGATGAAAAGGGGGCGGGACAATGGGCAGTTTCTTAGCAGGCGATTTGTCCTTTCGGAGAGAGAGGGCACTCTGAAGTACTACACCAAATACGATGTAAGCTGCTGTTAATGAATATTATTTCAAATACATGCTGGAAAAACACAAACTTTTAGCACATGTTCTACTTTAGTCTGCATACATGTGGAACCACAATAGAAATAACCTAAATACAGTTGACGTTTATAGATAAGAAATATAATACTAATTTTTTTTTTTGTCATTAAGGCTTTTTTTCTGACATACTCACTTTTAAGCTGTCACTGAATTCCATTGTTTCAGTTGATCCATATTGTGCCGTTTGACAGCAATTATCATCCCTTGCTTTACAAGACAAATACTTCCAATCATAGCTAGAAATATTTAATAAAATCAATAAGGAAAATGCTACTCCGGCAGACACCATTTGTAATAGCAAATGTTTGTATGACTTGTTGCAGAATGACAAGACCAAATTTATCTTTTATAGAGGGCTAGCATGACCTTATTGGCAGCAGTAGCTCAGCTTATAGCTATTTCCAGGAAGAACATGTATAATATTGTAGAAAAATCTGTCCAATGTAGCATCTATGGATATAAAAAAAAATCTCAATATTAATGGTTAAACAGCTGATTTAAAAGTATAGATTATTTTCATGATACATTGAGATTAGTATTTTCTTTTTGTGGATGTTCAGATAAGCTTACTGAGGAGTCTGTTTTTTGCTTTACTGAATTTTGCATCATTTACAAAAAATATTCTCAGAAGCTGGGAAAAAGCTTCTTGTATAAGATAGAAAAGAACCGCTTCCATGGCAACAGGATCTTTGTTTATTATATGTTTAGTAATGCAAATTAGGTTTTCCTCTAGGCATGGTTTCATTAAAAAACAACTATTTTAACTTAATTTCCTCCAGGTGAATTTAATTTGTTGAATATTTTGATATAGTGACAGGTTAATGGATGCTTCTCTTTGATTCAGTCCAGAGGTTGGGGTTCATATCTGTAATATGTTCCAGTGGCAATTCATTATCTCATATGAAATTCTTAAATTTTTGTTTAAAGACCAAGTTACCCTCTGGTTACCAAAGCAAGTCAAATTTCTATTAAACACTAACAGATTATGCTTAAAACTACAGACTGGTACTTTTGTATTTATGCCTCTAGTTTAATGAGTCAGAAGTGAGAATAAACTGTATAATCTAGTAAATAAAAAGTAAGTGTGTCTCACTGCACTCAGTTGGCAGTCCACCCATTTTTTAACAATTTTACAAGTTATGATTTGGACTTTAAGGGGGTTCAATTTAAGTTTTTCAAACTTGGGAATGCTGACTGCTAGTGTACATGGAACACAGAATGAGTCCAGTAAAATGCTTTTAATTAAAAGGTTTCCATCTTTGTTTTCTGTTAGTATAAGCTTTACCTTAGCATAGCTTATTCTGTAGTACAAAATATAAATATTTAATTTGGCAGAGCTATGTGAAAAGTTAGCAGTTTTTGAGTGTCTTTTAAATGGAGCACTCTTTTTTTTTTTTTTTTTTTTTTTTTTTTTTTTTTTTTTTTTTTTTTTCTTTTTTTATTGTACTTTGTTCAGAGCAAATAGAACTGCATTACCATTTTCAATTTGCACAAAACTTCAACTTAGGCATTAAAGCACATCTGAAGACTAAAACTGTTTATATTTTGTTTCCAAATGATGACTATAAGTGATGAAGGCTGTTGATAATTGCTTTTGATGTTTGTGTATGACCTCAAGAGTTTTGAACACTTTGATTTGTGTCTAATATGAACATCCGGTGTTACAAGACTGTCTAATTGGCTAAATATCACATTACAAATGTGAAATGCAAGATCATAACACTTAAAATGCATTAGCCAATATTTATTGCAGTCCCTTTACAATATTTATGTTAAAAACTGATATCACTATGAGATTATATTAGAACAGAATGTAGAAGAACTTGGCCCTGTTATCCAAAATCAATGGTTCTTTAACCTGTTACAACAAGTCACTCAACAAGTTCAAACTAAGTTTTTCAAGTAAGACCATGCTGACAAAAATCTGAAAATCTGTCCAAATATGACCATATATATATATATATATATATATATATATATATATATATATATATATATATATATATATATATTTTTTTTTTTTTTAGATAAAATTCTTTAAAACTGAATGAATGTTTAAAAGATACAATTCAATTATCTATTATTTCTTACTCAGTTCAAATA